AACTTTGTAGTTGACAACATTTTCATTTGGATTCGTTTAGAGTCCCAAACACTCAATTTAAATTTGGATGAGCATACGAGGTGAAAGAATACCTAATATAGACAAATGGTTTTGGGGTAGAGTGGTTAGAGGAGTAACGTGTGAGGCTAAGGTCACGGGTTTGAACCCTAGCGGCCACAAAGCGCATGTATTTTGCGCAAAAAATCGGGTTTGAACTTTTTTTTTTGCTATTTTTTTATCCAGATTTGTGATTTCTAAAAAATAAGTCGTACAAATACTCAGCCGTCCCTACAAACCGATTTATAACTGTCCCTACAAATCAACAATTTGTAGTCTCGGTTGAGTAGGGGTGGCTGACCCAACCCCCTGCAATCCCTCGTGAGCCGCCCCTACAAAATCTTTTGTGTAGTAGTATATGAGTATGGATATGTGATATCCATATGGTAAAACCCATGCCATCCTACTCCCACGCGACCCCTTCATCCATTGGTCTGCCACCTCTCTCGCCATGGATTGCAAGGCCGAGCTCTACCTCTGATGTCCACTACCCATGTCGTCCTGCGCACCAACCACAGATTAAATATGACAGTTATGAATTTGCGTAGTAGAAATCTAACTATATATTTGCATTCAGATATGATACAAATATTAAATGTATGGATCTAGATATGGATTCCCCATTTGGTATAACTCCTTTCAGATGAACGAATATCGAGAAATGTCCGTCCAGCTTTCATCCATATCGATAACATCTCGTGAAGACGATGACATCCTGTACCCCTTTCGGATGAACAAATATTGAGAAGTATCCGCACCACTTTCACCTGTACCCATTTGGTGATGGCACGTAGGCTCTATTTGGATGTAAATATTGGACCGGAGGAATTGAATTGGGTGACAATACTGATACGGCTTTGAAATGGAAATAGGCTCAATACCAAATATATTGTTTGGTTGCAGATAGAAATCATTGTTGGAATCTTGGAATCGTCACTCCCCTCTGATCGCCGTCAGCTGTAGGTCCTTTGGCTGCTATGTGCGCTCCTCCCCAATTGCTAGTTCCTAGGACTTCCCTAGTGCTCGTCCCTGCCGCGATCTTCCCCGCCCTTTGTGAGGTGAGCTCGCCCCTGCCGCGGGCTTCCCCAGCCTCCGCGAGGCTGCCGTGTGTGGTGGAGCGAGGAGGTGCCATGTGGAGTCAAGGTAATGTTGCGTCGTTGCAGCTTGGGGGACTTCGGGCGCGTTTGGACGATGTCCAAAAGATGCCGCACCGAGTCTGTGGCATGTCGAAGGTGCGGCGCAGAAAACGGCCACTGCAACTACGGCACGATTTGGCATCCAAAATGAACTAGACGACCATGGCGAGTCTGCGGCATGCCGCAACTGGGGCAGCGAAGCAAACACATGCCACAACTGCGGCGCGGAAGGTGTGGCGTGGCACGGCATCCTTTGGTCGCGAACCAAACGCCCCCTTCATGCAACGAACCGGCGACATGGAGATGGAGGTGTGGCGAGGAGAGGCGGAGCTTTTCCTCTGGTGACGCCATGGGCCGAGCTCCGCCTCCAACACCGGGCAGGGCAGTTTTCAGCGGGGATCCTTCGTTGCGTGGTGGATGACCTTCGTCTCCAGCACCAGTCAGGCGGGTGCCTCTAGTGCGGATCTTCCAGGCGCCAGTGGTCTGGCGAGAGCGTCTGTCGGTGATGGTCGGGCGGGAGCAACCAGCGGCGTTCTGTGGAGTGGGTCGCGGCTACGAATTCCATCCAATACGGAGGGGTCGTGCTTCGTTTTGAAGATGAGTTGATTCAGTAATAGCCGAATACCCTGTGGAATCAGGCTTCAATTCCATCTGACAATATCCAAGACATCTAAACAATAGAATTGGGGAAACTCATGTGATGTCCAATTCTAAATTCCAGGTCTCAATGTCGATATCCAAACGGTGTATTGTAGGGCCTCGTTTAGATTGAGGTTATGAATCAGTATTTGGCACTGTAGCACTTTCGTTTGTATTTGACAATTATTGTTTAATTATGGTCTAACTAGGCTCAAAAGATTCGTCTCGTAATTTATAATTAAACTGTGTAATTAGTTATTTTTTTATCTACATTTAATACTCAATGCATATGTCTAAAGATTTGATGTGACGAAGAGAGAGTGAAAAAACTTACGATCTAAACCAGGCCTAGGTGTTGACGCGTACGACGAGATTGTTACAGATACATTGATAAACGGGAAAAGTGCATGGCCTCAAGATAATTGTTGAGCAGAGGCTCGACTGCAGTAGGCCCGAGAGATCTCGAGGAGACGAGGAGGCTCCACGTGTGATTGATTTAGATGCAACAAATCTGATTTGCGGCATCGGTTTTCCTCGTGTACACCGTGCCCCTAGTGCTCCTAGCTCAGTCAGTTTTATCTAAACTTTTCAAACCAAACCAAACCAAACCTAGTGCTCCCGTTGCTCCATATGATTTATTTCGTCCTTTACTTAACTCAGGATCACGTTTATTTCTTGAAAGGTGTGCGTCAGGAATAAGGATTAGCATTTGTTGTGCTACTGCTCTGTTGTGTATTCCTTTATTTTTTTACATGTCATATTAGCTTTGTTCTAAATCAAACATTTATATCTTTGATTGTCAATTTCAGAAAATTTATACAGGTTCATTGCATAGGATTTATATTTTTAGATTCATCATGAGACATACTTTTGTAATATATAATTTATGTGTTGTAAAACTATAAAGATTAAAAAAAATACATGGTCAAAGATAATAAGATTTGACTTAGAACAAAGCTAATGTGACAGGTAAAAATAAAAGGAGAGAGTATCTTATTTAATACCCTTCTAACTTGATATGTTGTTTATTTTCTCCTGGCGCTATGAATGAAGAGATGGTTCACTGACTCCTACCAGTGGCGCTGCTCGTGCGGGCGGTGGTCGCTTGTTCCACCGTCTCCTGATATATTACTTCCCAAAAAAGTCAAAACGTCCTATAATTTTAAACCAAGAGAATAATAAAGAAGAGAACGATGTGCCATAGACAGCGGACATTTATTCCTCGTGCGGGCGGATGACGACGTCGCTGTGGCGAGCGGCTTTGCTGGTGGCACGGTGCTGGTGCGGCGTGGTGGGGCCCTCCCTTCTTCCCCGGCGTGGTGGCGGCGGCGTGAATGGTGGTGGTGCGGCGTGGTGGGGCCCTCTCTTCTTCCCCGGCGTGCTTTTTTTTTTATTTTTTTTGAAAAAAAAGTTTGCCAAGTGTTTTAACGCTAGTTTGCCGAGTGTTTTTGGACTTCACCGAGTACCCCTGGCACTCGACAAATATCCTGTATCCGGTAGTGTACAGCGACAAGTGTCCATTTGACACAGCTGCAACCTGGCGATTTCTCTCGCGGTGAAGGCTGGATAGATGATCTATACTACGGTGCGCTAGCTAGCTACTTAGCTACGTTCAACGGTTGTGTGTCAACCAAAAAATAGACAGAAACCAGAAAGCTACACCGCACTCTTACGAGCGTGTTCTTCGCGCACTTAGCTTCACACGCGCAGCCATGCGAGCGAGACGACAAAGCAGCTGCATGCAAAGATCTTGTGACTTCTCTATGGCGGCGAAACTCGTGTTCCACGCCCCGGGCCATTTTGTATTAGGCCCTGCCCCCCCTGCCTTTTCCTGCCCATAATGGGAGTTTGCCACTTGACTATAAATTTCGTTTGCGCGCTCTTTGGGGCCATTATTTGATCCACACTTCCTAAACTACAGACGTCTGAATCTCAGGCGGCTGCTCTGCATGCCTCAGCTGACCGAAAGAGGAGGAGGATCCAAGAAAGATGAAGGCATGCGCTAGTAATCTCATGACTGTCCTGTGTTGCCTGAGAAGAAGAGAGATTTCAGGCGCCTGTTAAATAGCAAATCCCGATTTGATCACCAGAACAGCACAGCTTTGAAAGCCGGCCAGACGACCGTGTTGATTTTTGGTTGCCAAGCATGGGCACCGGGAGCACGTGCGGTTCTATGCATGCAGCGCCGCGCCCCACACCGCAACAAGGCAAATAATGCAACGGGCCGGGGTCGGCGAAAATATGCAACGAGTGACCAGCATATCTCCACGCCATGGACATAAGTAAAAGAGACGAAATCACTGCAGAAGCGAGCACAGAGAAGCGCCTATACAACACAAACTGGAAGCACTGCGTGGTGCGTGCAAAAGCTAGCGTCGAAAGCATCAGCCATCAGGTATTAAAAAGCCGAGGACGGCGTTGCGATCCGTGGGACCGCACGATCTGGCTCGCTGGAAATTTGAGGCTCTCTGGTCTCACAGCCTGCCCTGCCACCATTGGCCATGGATGGCTCGGAGAAGGGCCAAGAAAGCGTCCCCGCCCGGCAACTTTGTGCGACTTGGCTACGAAAAGAGATCTCTTTGGTTGATGGTGGGCCTTTATTTGGAGGCTAGCAGCCATGCGATCGAAGGCTGCCGTGCTAGCTAATAATACATGTCCACCGAGAAGACATTATACTGGATCATCCGCAGGAGCTAGCCAACCTTCACTTGAGACATGCATGTGTTCTTTTCTACCTAACCAGAATTCTTTCACCGCTTGCATACCATCTCTTCTTTCTCCCCTCCAGTGTTTTTCTTGCTATGAGTTAATTACACTTTAACTACTTTCCTTCCATTCTCAAACTTCAGTTGTTAATTGTGTGTGGTGCTTCCTCCACATGTGTCAAGTGATTTTCTTCAAATGTGTCTTTCATGCTTTTTGCTAGCGAACCAAATAAAGTCCCTTTGATTTTGTTTAAAGCAAAGCTGCCAAAAGCTAGACCTCGACACGAGCAAAATTGCAACTTGGTGTATTGCTCGTGGTTGTTGATGCCTATAAGTACCCTCATGCGGCATCAAGGCAAGGCCCATGCCTCGGTCTCAAACCAATAGCTACTAGCTAAATACCTAGCTCATCTTTGGAGCTCACTACTGACCTAGCTACTACTCGATCTCGTGCATGCCAACCATGAGGCACAGCAGTTCCGTAGCAAATCTGCATGACAAGCAACCTCACCACCACTCCACATCGAAGATGAAGCTCTGCAAGAGCGCCCCCGATCTCCTGAAGAAGGCCGTGACGTCGATCAAGAGCAAGACTGACGCTCTAAGAACAAAGCTCATCATCCTGGCCTCGCTGCGCCGAAGGATGGCGGTGGTCGCCGCCATGTCTCGCAAGGTCCACACACTCGTGTCGTCGTCGAACCAGGAGAAGATTATGGCGGACCACCTTGACAGGGCTCTCGTGCTAAGCAAGGCAATGGCGCCAAGCAAAGAGCCTGCCGCTGGTGATCACGGTGGTAAGAAGGCTGGTCTTAGTCTCTTTGAGATCGCAGTGTTCGACGAGGATGATCGTCATGGCTACCATGATTGGACAAGTTCCCTCTTCGACGATGACAATTATCATTGCAATGATGAGGAAGATGTACAGGAAGGTGGTGGTGATGTCGATGTTCTTGATGTGCTCGATGAGCCATCGGTCATCGAGGTCATCAGGAGCAACCGGGAGGCTGAAGGTCTGACGTTCAATATAGACGATGAGATTGACGAGGCTTGTGATATGTTCATTAGGAGATGTCGCAACCGGATGGACCTTACCTTGTAGTGATCCTTGTGTTTTTTCGTGCATGGTACTGAGCAACAACTGGTACTGAGCGATGATAGAAGGGTGGCTGAGATTCTAAGAAGAAAGCCCAGCTACTAGGGATGACCAGAGGGACATGCATGGACTTGTGTGATTATTACCGCATAAGTAGCACGACACACATTGTGAAGTGGCAAAATAGTGTTATGCAGATAGACACAGCTTGGAAGATGCATCGATCGTATTTTAATTTATGCCTGGATTTAACAAACTATATATAGACGATGAACAGTTTGTTTTTCATTTTAATTTGTGCTAGCTAACATCTCTGATCACTGACCCATATGCTCCTCACAAACCTTAGACGAGAGTATGTCTCGTTGCCAACAGGCCACGATGATGCCCGCTCCACACATCCAGCCTTGCTGCATCTGCTGCGCCGTACCGGTCCCTGAACCTACAAACTCTATTTCGTGTTGTTTGGTATAGTCCTCTAAACAATGTGTTTCATCATGAGCATTCATCCTATGAATTCCAGTGGGTTGTACCAATAATATGCACTAATTGAGATAAAAAGAATAATATGCACTAATCCATCAACCCAGGCGTAATCATGAACTAGTAATTTTATGATGTTTGTGTGTAAGTGTTGGAAGGCTCTTGGCTGAACTTGGGCCCATAGCTAATCAATTTTTTTGGTATCTTTGCTCTCTCTATTTTTTTTCATATTCCAACACAATACCAATAGATAATTTTTTATATCTGGTTATTATCTGTTATTCCCTACACTTCCCCAACCACATTCACAGTTTACCTCTTTTGCATCAAACCGTACCTCCAAATGTGTTTGGCATCTGTTTAGACAAAAACCTTATAGCTTTAGCTATGTGTTTGACATATAAAATCGATATGGTCATCATTTCCTGCATACATTTTATATATGGTCTAAATAATGACACAAATCATGCATGCATGTCAAAAGTTATGTTTTCTATATATTAACCACGGTAGAATTGGACAATTTATAAGTGTGTGTGTTTTACGTGGTTTACTCTAAATTATTTCTATTAATGTCAGAGATGGATAATTTAGATGCAATTTGTAGGATCTTTTTAGACACTTTTTCATAATGGCTTTTGGTTATTTCTAACAATGCAGAGAATAATAATGTAGATGCACATTTATGGGCTACTTCATATGAATTTTAATAATGGCATGTGGGTAATTTTAGAAAAAAAATTAGGGGTTATTTATACTATTTTTCTAATTGCATATGCCAATAGTAACTTAGACATAGGTTTACGGGTTACAGTGGAGTATTTTCATGATGGCAAAGCTAGGTATTTCAGATATATGTTTAAATGATTATCTGAGTACTTCCATAATAATAGAGGTGGGTAATATATTTAGAAAATATAATGGATCTGGTGATTATTATTGTTGAAGATATTCAGAGTTTACTAAATTAATGGCCAGATGTTCCTAAGTTTTATATGAATTTATAGGACTTGTTCTTTTGTCTATACTATGTCTTGTAAAATGCATATTCAGTTAGTAGCAAGAAGCAAGGAATGAGGTGCGAATCTAAAGGACCAAACAGGGGACCCATGACAGTCCCAAATTTTTTCACAGAACAAAAAAGTTATCGACCTAAGCATCTCTCTTTTTTTTTGCGAATTACACAACTACAAGTACAGACGCATTCAACAAGCACGCACACTCACCTCTACGAACACACGTACGCAATATCGACCTTAGTAATGACACAAGGAACATGCCGAAGCCTAACAAGTAAGGATAGAAGCAAATTTTCTAGTGGAAATTGCCTAAAAAATTGTCTTAAAACGAGCCTTATTTTCAGGAAGATGCCGAGAGAGAGAGTCCCAGTGATTGCAACTTATTTCTTCTCTGTACTCTATGCAAAAGAAAGAAAGAGCATCTCCAAGAGTATCCTAAATTTTACTCCCAAAAACTTCATGTTTTTCAACTCCCAAAAAGTTATAGGAGAAAAAAAGGTCATCTCCAATAGTATCCAATATTTCACTTAAAAAAAATCAAAATTTGATCCCACTTGGTTTTTTTATTGCGGTACTTTTTTCCCCGAGTCTTCGCGGACGCGCAAACCTACGCTGTCGCCGCCGCCTCCTTCCTTCAGCAGGCCGGCACCACCTCCCAGCCACAGGCCGCCGGCACCACCTCCCAGTAGCCATTGGCCTACTTGGTGTTCTTGATGTACGCCCAGAGGGCGGGCCCGTTGGCATAGGTGCACGGCCGGGAGCACGTGCTGGTCGGCCATCGGCCTAGAGGTCGTTCCCGGTGGCCTTCTCCGCCGCCGCATGCATGGTCAATACATTGCACACTGTTCTCGTCGCCGCTGATGATCGGGTAGAAGCCTTTCCCATGCAGCCACCTCTCCGAGAGGCTCATGCCCTAGTGTGATTGAAGACCGTGAAGGCCGAGAACTCCCTGTCGACGGAGCTGGCGGCGACGGTGAGGATCCACGGTGTGACGGTGCCGAGGTCCGGGCCGTTGTTGCTGGCCGAGCATACGACAAAGACGTTGGCCTTGATGGCGTGGAGCAAGTCGATGGGGAAACCGCGCTAAAAGACCGCACGGAAACCGCGTCGGAGGAGATATGCGCGATGTCTACGGCGAGCAACTTTACGCGGGTTGGTGGAGTTTTTCCCAAGTGCTAAAAGATTTGGAGAATGGATTATAAGTTGTTAGAGAGGGTTTTTTTTTCCAATCTTGCTAAAAAACAAGGATTGGGAGGAGATTTAAGATACTCTCGGAGATGCTCTAAAAGAGCTCTCGTTTCCTCCCAATTTCTATGTGTTCATATTGTGATCTCTGTGTGCATTTATTGTTCGATAGAAGAATAGTTTCTCAACACACAAATCCTGAAAAAGAAAAAGCTCAATATTTGAAGGAGATTACATCATGAAGTTAAATCCTAGCAAACCAAATCTCTGGAAGGCAAATGGCTGAAGAAATAAGAGCCACTTCCTACCACCCTATATCTAGCCCTAAGAAAAACTCTAACCACTCAAATGAGAGCCTAACCCCGAAGTTGTGTACTAGCCATCTCCACTTTGTATAGGCACTTGATATTTTTAAAATTATGTGACATTGCATGAACAACTCAGCCTAAATATCCACATGGGTAAAATCGCCCTCCAACTTGTCACAAGCTTCACCCTATGTATCAACCGCCAGGCTTTGGGGGGTGGCCATGGACGGGAACAAGCTTTGAGGTCAGCAGGGCGGGGAAGGCAAGCTCTCTAGAGATCTAGACCCTACGTATCCACCGCCAGGTTGGTTGGAGGGAGGCATGATTCGTAGGACAGGGACATGTGCTCCATGGTCGGTGGGCCAGAAGGTGGGCTCGTTGGAGATGAAACCCATATGGATTTGCCGCTAGGATAGGGAAGGGAAACGAGATTGGACCATCCATATGCGGCTCGTCGGTTCTCAAGGCTCAAGGGAGAGGTTGGAGAGCGGACTTGTCACGAGCTTGCTGGATCATATCTTGGGTCTCCGTGGCCAGGGTGGGAGAAGCGGGCTCACTAGATCTTTGAGAGGGCAGTGCGGCGAGAAGGTGGTAGTGGCGGAGGACGTAGACGAGAACTCTCAGTGGCATCGTAGGGCGCAAGTGAGTAGTCGGTGGCGGCGAAGGGCGCAGAGAGAGAGAGAGAGAGAGAGAGAGAGAGAGAGAGAGAGAGACTTGTGAGTAGCCATGAGAGAGATAAAGAGCTAGGTGTGGCGTGAAGGAGTCATGTGAGAGAGAGAGTTTTCGATGGGTTGGGCTAGAATTAAGATAGGCATCATTTTTAGAGGCAGACCTTAGACTTAAGAGGCCTACCATGCATATTAGTTGATTTTAGAGGCGGGGTGTCTTGAATGAAACGAGCGCTTCTGAAAATCGCTAGGCATTTGAGGAGACACCCTCTCTTTTAGCCCATCGTCTTTGTTAATGAGGAGCCTTATAGTTTCCTAAAATCTTTATTCGATCTAGTTGTGCAATCTCCCTGGCATGGATTAGACCCGTGTTTCACACACTCCTATTTAATTGATCCGTAACTGCTCGCCGGCCGGCTGCCTTGTACTTTAGCTCTTGCCTTTTCTTTTCGTATAATAATATATGGAGTTCACCACCAGCAGGGGATCTTATTGATGTTTACTTGTCGGGCCCATGACTGATGACGGTTCACGAAAAAAATAGAACAACAACAACTTTGAAAGCTAAGCCACACCGTGTCGTGGTTAGTTGCCACAGCTCGCGCACGGTGGGAACGTGGGGTTGTAGACTGAAGTACTACTCAGACAGCTTTCTCTCCACAGCACGGTAGGACACGAAGCAACGGCTTCGCCGTGACATCCAGCGCGCGATTCCATATGGAAAAGACGAAATCTGCGATCGCCGCGCCTTTTCGTGTTGACGAGCGGCAAAGCGATCGTGCCCACAGAGAAGCGAAGGCGCGGCAGCACACGAGAAAAATCCCGGCTTTGGCGCACTGCAAAGAGAAAATAAAACGTAAGAAAGCCGACGGCACTGCGAGCCAATTAGCGAACTCATGATTGGCAATTTGGCACGCAGGACCTCCCATGAGCCTACCTTGCCCATTGGGTATGTGACAGAGCATGAATCACACGGAAACGGCCAAGAAAAGCATCACCGTCCGCCTTTGTGCGTTTTGGTTGCCAGGTGAAGTTACCTTTGGTTTATTATTATATGGTGGGGAAGAACAGCCATCATATCATCGGCAACCAAAAAGGCAATAACGGGATCCAGATCGGAGGACAGGTGTCATTTTTCTCAATCTAATGTAATAATTGGGATTATTTTACCGCGTCATTTTCTGATTTTTCTCCCACTTTGATACCTTTAACCTTGCCATGGAACTTTTTAGTAGTTTTGCTTCCACTCTCAATGCTCAGTTCTTAATTGTAGTGCTTAGTCCACATGTTTTGTTTTCTTCAACGTTTCTTTCATGCTTTGAGGCACCAACAATTTTTATATA